CCCAAATACTGATATTTTTCTACTTGTTTCCATTTACCGTATATCGTTACCATTGATTGTTAATAGGTGATGAGAATAGTTTGTGGTCTTTATGTGTGTAATTAGCATGTACTTCGTTTTTTAGCGTTTATAGTAATTTCCATCTCAGCACCATTCAAGCTTTCGATAAGATGTTGTAGATCCTCTATACTCGTTGCTATGATCACAATGTCGTCTGCATATCTTAAGTTGTTAATTAATTTTTCGTTAACGGTGACTCCCGCTTCAATATTATTGAGCGTTTTTTGGAAAATTTCTTCAGAATATAAATTAAACAAAAGTGGTGATAAAACACATCCCTGTGTAACTTCTCTACAGATCCTCATTTCTTCTGAGTGTTACCCATCAATTTAAACTATGGCACTTTTGTTCCAATATAATGTTTGCACTATATTTATGATTTTACTGTCAATGCTCTTGTTCATAAGTATTGATATTAGTTTTCCATGTCTTACTTTATCGAAAGCTTTGTCGTAGTCAACGAAGCATAAGTGCAGATCAACATATACATCCCAATATCGCTGAATCAATATGTTGATGGCAAATAGTCCTTCTCGAATACGCATTCCATTTCGGAACCCGAACTGCGTCTCGCTAATATCCACCTCTAGCCTTTCGTACATTCTCTTATGTATTATTTTTAGCAGAACTTTTAAAGTATGACTCATGAGGCTCAGTGTTCGATAAACAGAGCACTCTTTAGCTGCTTGTTTTTTAGGGATGGTTATAAATGCTGAGTTCAGCCACTCTTGTGGTATTATTCCCGTATCGTCCACCGTGTTGAATAAATTTGCCAATACTTCCAAGTTATCCTCTTCCACTAGTTTTAACAGTTCTACTGGTATTTCATCTAATCCAGCTGCCTTATTGTCTTTAGAGTTTTTGATAGCATATTTGATTTAATCTATCGTGATCTTCTGTCTTTCTAAAGGATTTAATTCTTGTATTTTCTGCATTTAACCTCTTTCATCTTGGAAAAGTTCTCTAACAGACTCCTCCCATCGCCTTAACTTCTCTGGTAAATGTACTAGTAGTACTCCTTATTTGTCTTTTATGTATCCTTGCTGTCTATTTCGACCCATTCTAGCCACTTTTCTAATTTTTTGTGCATATTTCTCATATCATATTTCGTTTCTAGTTCTTGTATCTCTTTACATTGCTTCATCAAATAGATTTCCTTAGCTGTTTTGATTTTTCCTTAATTATTCGTTGTATTTCTTTATACTTCTGTAGATCTTTTCTTTTATATTTCCTTCTTTCTGTCATCAGTAATAGTACTTCTTCTGTCATCCAGTGTTTTTTAGCCTCTGACCTATGTTCTATTAAACTTTCTTGAGTTGGTTTCAGTAATGTGTTTTTATATTATACCACTTTTTATTTACATCTATAATTTGTTTGTTTTCAGTTAGTGTTTTTTGCATATTAACATTCATATTATTATTTATTTCGTTTTTTATTTCTTCCTTTTGTATCATTCTTACGTTAATTTTTGGCTGTTGTTTTCTGAGTTCAATTCTTTTTAATTTTATTTTCACGTCATCCACTCACGGATTGTGGTCTGAGTTAACATCTGCACCAGGATAAGTTTTAACTGAGGTTATAGAGTTTTTATATCTGCTATTTACGAGTATAAAGTCTATCTGGTTTCTGGCAATGTGGTTTTCTGTATGTGAAGGAGACGTCCATGTATATAGTCTTCTTTTAGGAAGCTGAAACCAAGTAGAAGTAATGGATTTTGACAAAAGCTATGAGTCATGCCGATTTAGTACACAAGTTTAACTGTTATTTTCAAGGTCATAGCTCTAGTTAAAATCCATTACCTATAATGGCAATTACCATATTCTTTTCTTGGCAGAATTCTATGAGCCTCCCTCCTCTATTGTTTCTAGTTCCTAGACCGAACTGTCCAACTATATTTTCAACTGTACCTACTAAAATTTTTGCATTAAAATCTCCTAAAATGTAAGTAATATCTCTAGATTTTGTTAACTTGATTGTATTGTGCAATTTTGAATAAAACTTTTCGATCTGTGTTCTGTGCTTAATTTTTTAGCATTATAATTCTTTTTGAGATTTGAATTACACCTAGCACTGATTTTCTAATAGTGTTTCTTATGGTGAAACCTACTCCGTATCGATGATCAGTTTTGCCTCCTCCAGTGTAATAAATTTTGTGGTTATTTATTGATATCTCTCCATTTCCTGACCATTGTACGCCAACCCCAAGTATATCTATATTTAGCCTCGTTTTCTCTTTAATAACATTGTGTAGTTTTCCAGGCTGATACGTACTTCCTACAATCCCGGTGGTTATTTTTATCTGAGAGGGTTGAGTATTTTTTTCGTGGTATTTTGTGCAAGGGTTTCGCATGTTGACGACCGAGGAGGCCTTGCGTTCTGATGATTGTTCTCCCTTGCCGGATTTTGGTCTCCTATTACCATAATCAATAATGTTTCTTGCGCAAATAGTGCTAGCCATTATAATTTTTATACTAGAGATGCCATCAGGGACCTTTAACGCAGTATTTTCTCGTTGCCCTAGGCATTCTGATGCCGTTGACCACTTTCTTCGTTCTTCCACCTTCAAGACCAATTTCTTACTCTTAGGACAACAGAGTGTCCTTCCACTTACTAGCTCATCCGCCCGAAGCCGTTGGCCAGTAAATGGTTGATTGCTGATCCCGGCAAACACTCGAACGTTAGAGCCTCGTTAGTTATCTAGCAGGATGTACCAAAAAACCATGATCTAGATCATCATATGAGCAGGTGAGGTTGACATTTGAATAGGAGTGGCTATATGTTACGCTTCACTATCCCATTACATCATATGCAAAAATTTATTATTTTAAAAATTTAATGACTGACTGTAGATTGCAATTGATTGGATTCCCCGTCGTATGCGTCGGGTAGTTTTTTAATATTCATGAAAGTCACTAGTTTTTGAATATTCATGAAAACCCGTTAAAAAACGTGAAAATCCATCAATGAAAATTTAATTTTTTCAACCATAAATAGCTCAAAGAGTATTAACTTAGTTAAAAAACTGTTAAAGATTTTCATCCCTGAGAAGAGGTGACAACCACCCCTGGGGCGGAAGCACACATCATCGTTATACATATAACTTTTATTTTTTAATCGTTTTCCCAAAAAGTCACCAAATTCCAAGTGAATCGGTCCAGTCCAACAAAATTTGGAGGTAAATACCCGGAAGCAACTAAATTTCTATTAAGTCGAATATTCTATATAAAATGTATATATAAATAAAGACAATAGTTAAATAAAAATTTTGCAGCTACCTTTTAATTCCTCATCGCATTTAAAATATTCGAAATAAAGATCCTTGTTTTTTGGCATGTAATAATTTAACATAGATGGATCCAGTTCAAATTTATTGTTGATCTGAAATAAATTTTATATTATTAAATAGCACTTACATATATACAATTATTAATAAGTACAAAGCGATACAAAAACCATAAATAGAGTAGGTACTGGAGTAAGCTTTATTTTTTTGAATGGATGGTGCCTTCCACATAAGGAATTCGAAATATAACTTAAAAATGACAATAAAATAGACGGTTTTGGTTCGATTTCATTACAGCCTAACAGCATTCGCTGATATCATCGAGTTAGAATCTATGGAGAAGCTATGAGCATAATATTCTGTGTATTAAAAACAGCGTAGGTGGGTGTGGCTAACGACCATACCAATATGGCGGTGGAATCAGGGCCTGACTCAATATTATTAAAACTACTATACAAATATGACTCGTTATTGAGAAGATTTTAATCATAATCTAAAAAAGTGCAATATATTTTCAATGAACTATGATTTACTTATCACGCGGTAAACACAAAAAACACAATATATTATAGATAAAGATAAATTAATACAGTCAAATAACAAGTTATATCTGAAAGAGATAATATAAATGATATTTTAAAGGGTAAAATGAATGTATGGTATGTAAAATGAGTGTATGGTAAAGTACATTATCTTATAACAGTTGTAAGATTTTTTATTAATACTATTAATTTATTCTCTAAAGTACGGGCTATTACTTTGTTTACATATTTGTATACTAACCTATGGAACGTTATTTGTGAAGATTTTTTATTAACATTGCTTCTGTTACTTTAACTACGTTAAGACCAAGAAACCATTATTATGCACTATCACAATGTAATACTACAGTTTCTATAAAAGTATTATAAAACTAAAAATATTCGAAAAACAATAAACGTAAACAATTATACATAATCTGTCAAAACGATCATACCAATATGGCCAAAGTGAGGTCGTTTTTAATCACGTGATGCCTTCTCCATAGATTCTAACTCGATGGCTGATATGCATATTTCTGCGTTTGGGCTTCATCAGAGCGACTTTATGCCAAGCCTTAACGAAATAAAACCTTCTTCGACTATACAAGTACATAGCTGAAAAATGTTTACAAAATGGCATGACGTTTATAAATCTCCATGCCAGTCAGTGCTGCCAGGTCTACCGTTTTTACGGTAGATCTACCGTTTTCCACATCGATCTACTTCTCTACCATTTTAACACCTTATTCTACTGCAATGTTTAATTTAAAGCATTTGTCAAAACATAATATACTTAGATTTGATTATTGATTATCTTTTTGAGATTTTTTTTTTAATTTTGATATTTTTTTAAAGAATATGAAACACAATTTTATTGTTGGCGCGCCTATGATGTAGCAGCGGTAAGTGGTAATTAAGAATGTATTACGATATTGAAAGTTGTATTTGAATTTTCTGGAATTTACTCAAATAAACATTGTTAAAATCCCTGAATACAACGCGGTTCCTGACTTGTACCGAGACGACGATAATTCCTCGTCGAAATCGAAATATTATAAAGTTATTATTGCACATATTCAAGTGGTCTGTGGGTAAATTATATAAGGTGTTTACTGTATATTTATTAATACCTAATAATGTCTGACAGTGATAGCAATATAAGTAACACTAGTGCCAAAGTTGTGAAAAAAAGAAAATATACCCAGGTATATAAAATCCCATGGGAAGATGAAAGTAAATTTAAAGGCTGCCTTGGAAAAAGTAAAAGTCAAAGTCATCACAAATTATTACCTATGTGCAAATGTCAAATCTCTCATAAAACTTTATTGGACTGTTTTATACAAAGAGAAATCATTGACAAATCCGCAGTATTGGATATAAATTATAAAAATCCCAGAAATAGGTTACCCATTCGGGAGGTGTATTTTGGTTCTGACATTCGTCAGACATGCGTCATGACGTCGCATCCTAACAACAACGTCGGAACTGCAAAAAAAGAAATTTTTGGTTTTTTTAATTAAAGCGCTTAGAAAGTGTCATTAATTAAATTGTCAGAAACAAATTTGTGAAAATCCCAACAGTTTTCATTTTTTTTTACTTCAACAATGTAATATCTGCAATTACTCTTGGTTTCAACAATGTCGGTTGTCTACACACTACGTTGTTGCTGGAAGTGCGCGCATTATCTCCCTCGTGGATGATGTATATACCAGTAGCGACACTGTTTAGCGGACGTGAGCACGTGGTTAGTGTATGATTGAGTTTAGTCAGTTTTTCTATCAAAAAGCCAAACGAATCAACCAAAAGAATAAGTACTTATACATATTGAGCATTTTCATTAAAAATGGGGTCAAAAAAGGGGAAAATATTTATTGGCTTTAAACAGTGCCACACATGAAAAGATGACAAATGATTTGGACCAAGTAGCAGACAATCAAGGTTGGTTAATGAATTTTTGATTTAATTATTCATTATTTTAAACAAAAAAAGTGTTGTTATTTTTAATGTTATATAATTTGAAACAGTTTTTAAAATAAAACAAAAGTATTACAGTAATGTAAATAACAACGTCGAATTTGCCACATCCAACGATGTTGAACGGAAAATATATTTATGCAATGCCTCGTGAATTTTAGCAATGTTTTTAAATGTAAGAAGATTATTGATTAGTTATTTTTATGTAAAAGTATTATGTGGCAGATACTACTAATTTAACTGAAAAACAAAATATGCTTATTGTCGTAACTGACACATCCGACGGTATTGAAAGCACTTTTATTTCGATACTTTGTTGTATGTGGTAAATCCAATATTATTAAATGCTTAAATAAACATACCACATGGTTAAAGGTGTAAAAAGTAATTTGTAAATGTTGTAGCTTGTTATTTGTTAATTTTTAAAATCTTAGATAAACCCACATTTGTTATTACAGATACTGGTACACCTAATCCCTTGGAACTTGGAAATCAAGGCTTTGACAAACAAATTAGTAAAAAAAAAAGATGTATAATCTTATATAATAATGATTTTACAACATGATGTATAATCTTTTACAACTATATGTAATTTAAAGGGTTTTTACCCAGATATTTTGGTGGCTCAGGCATTATAACCTAGTAAGTATAACCATTTCTGCTTTTTAACCATAGTCCAAATTTCATAACCACGTTGGTTTTAACTAAATGGTTTATACTTATTTTAAACAATTTTAAAATTTAAACCTGATGATGGACTGTTTAGTCCGAAAACGTTTGTTTTTTGATGTAGCCCTTTTAAGGGTTTTTAAATAAATGTACCCATTTACGAAGACTAACCTCTTTTTTGTAATACGTGGTATACAGCCAGCTACAGGAATTGTTTTCCTTGTGGATTTTTTTAAAGAAATTAGTAACATAGTGAACAATGAGACCCCTGTACCAATTGAAGTTTGTACCATACTTCCAGAACATAACGATTCTGAATCAATTATATTACAAGAACAGCTATTGCCGCCACCGCTGAAAGCAAATGACGAAGAGGGTAAGGTTAACTAAGTTTATTTGCCCTATTTTGCTACCGATAGATTGATTGTATAAAATTTTCGAAATACGTTTTATTTACGTTATAGATACCGGTGAACCGTTGCCATCAGAATTTACACATCAAATTGTTGGAAAAAAACCTACCATTGGAATAAACAATACGTCCCCTGTACTAGTTAAAGCAACGATCAGTCTTTATTCCGATGATGAATGTATGACACCATATCCGACACCATGTACATCACCAGAGCACTGTGGCCAGTTTTGTGATGGCTCATTCTATCTGTGTCAAGAAATCGATATCATAGATAGTGCATCGTATCGTGTTACTGTATCTTCCGAAGGATTGTCAACGCCATCATCAGTTTTAAGCGTAAATTCGCCATCGTTAAGTTTAGTTACGTCATTTAGTATAAGTAGTCGTAAGTCAGCATTGAAAAAATATACAGGAAAGAAGAGACTTATTCACAAGGATCAGTGGGGAAAGATGCAATGAAAGAGTAAGAAAAATCTAGGAAAAGAGTTTGTCAATCAGAGGGGAAAGATAATTGAAGAAAAAGTAATAAAAATTCCATGCTCATGTCGTTTAAAGTGTTTTCAAAAGTTTACGCTTAAACAGCGTTCAAATATTTTTAAGAAATTTTGGAACATAGGAGATCGCCACAAGCAGTGGGAATTTGTGTTAAAATATATTACCAATGTAGCCAAAAGACGAGTTACAACAGATATTATTCGTCATAAAAGAGAACATCCCTTTAAGATTTTACCTAAGAAACTAAACGAAGTTTAGTTTCTTAGGTAAGACTCTAATTCTCTCAGCTCTTATCAATCTATTAACGTTTGCGAAATAATGTTCCGAAATACTCTCGCGACAAGTGAGCGTATTAAAACGGTGTGGCAAAAACATGACGGTTGTGGTATTGTAGAAAATGACCTGAGAGGTCTCTATATTCACAAAAAGATGATCAGTGAATGTATGGTAATGAGCGTCTGTGATCACGTAAACTAATTTGCACCCATTGAAGCTCAGTACGTGAGAAAAAACTTAACTAAGCTTTATCTAGAGGAACGTTTAAGGACGGCCAGGATGTTTAATTTGTATTTAAAATGGTATGACTCATCGTTACAATGTTTAAATTTGTCATTTTATTGCCCTAAAAAAGATTGTTGTGATCAGTGTCATATTTTTAAAAACACAATAAATCCTACTTCTGAAGAACAAAAAAAAATTCTGAAGAACAAACAAATAGCTCGAGATCTTAAACACAAAGACAAAAGTAAAGCCTTTTATTCTTCCGGAAGTATTCTAGCTGCCACTTTTGATTTTCAGAAAGTGCTGCCTTCTCCACACGAAAAAGTTAGTATATTTTTTTATTTTTTCATAAAACAAACTGCCAAACTTGGAGTTAAGGAATTTCGATTCTAGTCTGATAATTCTGGAGGCCAGAACAGCAGCCGGATTGTTTTCTCCAGTTATCTCTATGCAGCTAAACAATTAAAAGTATCAATTTTTCATAGATTTTTAGAGAAAGGCCACACGCTAAATGAAGGAGATAGCGTACATTCGGTCATAGAGAAAGCAAGTCACTCTAAAGATATTTTTACACCAACTGAATGGCACACTATGATAAGGTGGGCAAAAACTTCCGGAGATCCATATATTGTAAAACAGATGGCCACCAACAATTTTAAGAATTATAAAGCATTGCTAGGTAAAAAAAAATTGGACCATAAACATTAACAAATAAAAAGTCAGTTGGTGTAAAATTCGCGAACTTCGCGTTCTTCCCAACTACACTGATCGTTTTGACTATGAATATGAGTTGGATAGTGCCTACAAAACCATTGTAGTGACTAGGGGAAGTACTCGAAATGCTCACACCAGAGAAGTAGCATTAGAAGATTGTTATGATGGATTTAGGCCTATTTCTTTGGACAAATTTAAGGACCTAAACCAGTTATGTGCCACTGGCATTATTCCACAACGATACCACAATTTTTACAAAAATCTTAAACAGCGGAATAATAATAATATATCTGATAATGACAGTTCAGAATAAATTTAAATTAAGTATTTACATCTCTTTGTGCAATGTAGTTTTATATATTTTTTAAAAAAAAATGATATTTTTTACTTTTTTTATCAATTTTTTATGTAGGTGCTTTACTAATAAAATGTTTATTGTTTGAAAAAAAAATTAAAATCTTATGTTTTAATTTTTATGTAAAATTAAAAATACCAAACGTTGTAATACTTTTTATCTCCATTTTATTTAGAGATTACATTATGGCACGACTACCTGAAAACCTTTAGATTGAAACTCAATGCGACAGTAGTATGTAGTAATTTGATTAAAGGTTACATACGACATATTATTTAAATTAAATGTTAGTTCAACAAAGTTGCATGTGTCGCAAACGACAATATATTCTAATTATGTTCCATTTAACAATGTAGGATTTGTCACATCCGACACTAATGCTTGTGCACGGTTTTTTCAACAACGTCGGAAGTGAATTTGCAGAAAACTGATTGTAATTAGAAAAAAAAATATTGGCAATGATTTAAAGTGTACCATATTAAACAGTTATGTCCAAATTTGTAATTCTTTGGGATAGATCGTTCAATGATTTTTATATTGTTATGCAAATTGAAAACTTCAAATGGCCCTCCTGTATAGTTAACATTTGCAGATTCAACGTGGTTGTTAGGATACGATGATTTCTACGTCTAGTGTAGAAATGATTTAGAATTTGTAAAGTTAAATTGTTTATAATTTTATATAGAGGGTCCGGACTAATAAATCCTGATTTTGTGCAAAGTAGAAAAATTAATTCAATTGCACATATTTCATCAAAATTGGGCAATATTGGGATAAATCAGGGCGATTTTCAACCTTTAGATAATGGGTGGAGACTTTTACGAAACACTGAGTTGCCTGAAACTAATGATATATTAACATTTTGGAGTCAAGTAAGTAAAATGAATTATGGTAGCGGATTAAATATGTTCTCCAATTTATCGGGCGTAGCAAATTTCGACACTAAGCAGGTAGCGACTAAAATTTAATGGCAATTTTAGACACCAGCCCCAATTCCCGTTTTTATCTTACAGGTATATTCGACACCAAATAAATATAGCTGCGACATAAATAAAATACCGTAATTAATTTATTTATTTATTTTAATAGAACTAATGTGCATTTTATTTCTTTATAACTGTAATAATATCTAAATATGATACAACTAGTACCTAATTTTTTTACATTTTACCGTTAATATACTTGTATACAATGATTTATTTGCTATTATAGGAATGATAAGATACAGCTTTTATAAAATCCATCATTTTCTCCAAAAATTCCAATTTAGCCTAAACAGTAGTATCTTTGATTTTTGCTGGTATATGTAAACTATTTATTTTGACATAAGTGTCTACTTGAAATTCTTTTAACTTTTCAATGAAAATAAAAATAGAAGGATGTGTTGAATAAAAAGAAGAATTAAATCTCGAATGAAAGGATTCACAGGCATTTGTGGTCCTCGCAATAGACGGATTCTGATTAGACCATATGTGTGGTGGAAATAGAGCGCTATCGAAAATGTAATTTTCCAGTAAATAATCTGCATATATGTCAAGTGTTGCGTTTATAGGTTTATATGACATTAAATCATAAAGAAAACATTCTTCAACTTCTACTGGATTTAAATAAGTTAAACAAAACGTATGCCTTAACCATTTTCCAATTTCTGAATTTGTATCCGTATATTCTTGTACCAAACCCAAAGATTGAATTTTTTTAAACCACTTTTGGTGTAAATGAAAACGGCATCTACTAATTTTTGCATTGGGCCACATATACAATAAAGCACAGTGAATTGCTTTTTCAAAGTCCACAAATATTTCAGTTGGCTCTAATGATAATTGAAATGTTTTAAAAATCTTAGACCTTAATAAAGAAAATAAATTTTTGTATGTCATTGACAATTTGTCCTTTAACAAACAGTATGCTAAAGGAACATAATGTCCATTTTCCAAGCCATGTATAGTAAATAATTGTAGAAAATATTTGGTACTGTATGAAAATGTACCATCCATATACAAAGTTTTTAATTTACACAACAATCGAATATTTGTCTCGCATGAAAATACAATTACATTTAATTCAGGATGATTTAAAAACAAAAAACTTTCATTGCGACAGGTTTTAGGAGAATAATTACTAACCGCGTTATGGACTTCTGATATGCTTCTTGGTAACGGACCTGGTCACAGTTTACGACGACAGTTGTAAATGTTCTTTCTTATGCTAGCTATGTCAGGAACCGTCAGCAAATTGGCATCACACTCAGCAACAGCAGTTCTTGTAATTTTGGCAGGCTTTTCCGATATGTCCTCTTGGGCTTTTCTTTTACATGCATTGGTTACCATCTTTACTTCAAGCTTTTGTGGATCGGCTTCATGATTATGTACCAAATCACTTCTTGTGATGGTGAGATCCTCACAGCCTATTGTAAACACTTTTGCGGAACACTTAGTGTTTCTTTGAATGCAGCGCCAAAATATCTCGCCGCTTTTTAACACTTTCTGTTTCGAGAACGAATGATGCTCCACCACTAATAAATCTCGACCACGGGAACTTTTTATCAAACTCATTTTTTAAATATCCGTATACGTGCACAAGTCAACGTCAAACAAGAAATAAATTACAACTGAAATAATTTAGTCACAAGTACACAAGTGCCACGCCCCCCGCCGTGACAATAAATATTGGGAAAACCCGCTTGTCCTGCTTGGGTGCAAATGTCCATCGCCGCTAATTACCTACCTACTTGCTCTACGCCGCGGTGTCGAAATTTCCTATAATAAAATTTGACCCTTCGATTACCCCAGGTACAAAGACAATTTGATGTCGAAAGTTCGCCCGCCGAATTTATCCCTACTTGTTTTTATTGTATTAACCTTACCGTAGTCGAGTGAAAATGTAGAATGCATTTTTTTGGTTGTCAATACATTAAAAAAAGGGCAGAGAAATAAATTAAGCACAAAGACTATTGAGGCATTACTACATAGCAAGAGAATAGTTAACTCCGACGGAAGTTGCTATAATTTTAAGGTAGAAAATGATATGCCAAAACTTCTTAATAAAAACAATTACGAGCATAACTCGGGATATTGACGAGATCTAATAGTTGATTTTTTTGGCAATTCAGTGTTGTGTTTTGTTCTACCATATTTTTTAGGTTTAGATTTGATTTTAGTTAATGTTTTTAAATTTTATTTAAGTTAATTTTTTTAATAAAAATTCTGTTTTAAAAATTTTGTATGTATTTTCTGGTCAAAATTATTTACAAATGAACGTACTGTTATAAAAAGTCATTTAAATAGACCGTTGGAATAAGATAATGTAAAAAAACAACAAATTTGTCATCTTTATTGCATTTCTAGAGTTTTTTACTGTATTTTTCAAGTTCGCCCTACCGCAAAGTGATTCATGTCACCTGGCAACACTGATGCCAGTTTTTGTCGTGTGCTTATTTTGCAATGGTTAGAAAATACAGATTTAGGCTGAATCCTGAATTCGATTTCCGATTTATATGCGTATTACCTAACTTGTTCACAAATTCCTGCTATTTTAAACCCATTAGTGCCTTGGTTGCCATAGATAACTTACTTTCACTTTAAACTAAAGCGGAGATGAAGGGGTTAAATAAGGATGGACTAAAATCACTTTATAAAATGTGAAAAAACGTCATATTTGTGATTACTTTTTTAAATTGTTTTATTAGATGTTTTCGTAGTTATAGTTTTTAACGTATTCAAATAAAGCCTACAACGATTTGTAAAAATATTAATAATTTTATATTCTAATGCATTTTTGGTATTTAACAAACAAATAATATTTAAATGCTCACTTCGTATTATTTTTTTTATAAAAACTAATAAGTATAATACTTGGCCACCATACTGCAAATTATAGAAGTTCTCTGAAGAAGTTTGCAATTTTTTACTTGTCTGAGTGTAGTATTTCTCTTAAAAATATAATTGTCACAGGATCTGAGGCCATTATTTGCAATACTTGCTCTTTGCTCGAAGTCATTTTTTGGGAAATCGAAAAAAATTAATTAACGTCCGAGTAGTGTTGAGCTCACAAAGTAAAGAATTTTATTAATGTTGCTTTCTAGCCTAAACTATTAATAGATTTTTGGAAAATAAAAATGCCCATTGCAAACAACCAGTTTTACAAATGAATATATAAAACAATAGCAAACTGTAGTTCAACAAAAAAAAAAACATTTTTTATGAAAAAAAAAAACAGAGATTTTTTCACGAAAATAAAGATTTTTATTTTAAATCTTATCACTGCAGCTGTTTCGGCTGATTGCCTTTCTCAAGTGATCCATTTTTGGCTTGGGTTTACAAATTTATAGTCTCTAATGAAATAGGTTGAGGAGGGGAGAACTGTTATTCTCAAGTTGGTCTTTCAGAATTATATCTGTGTTTTTTAATTTGTTGATTTCCATAGATTCTAACAAAGATAGCTTAAGGCCTTTATTTTGAATGTGAAGAATTTTATATTTGTCATTAAAAAAATGATTATGATCTAGAAGGTAAATAGAAAAACAGATTCGACATACGCACTTCACCTTCTAGATCATAATCATTCTTTTAATGAAAAATTTAAAATTCTTCACATTCAAAATAAAGGCCTTAAGCTATCTTGTTAGAATCTATGGAAATCAACAAATTAAAAAACACAGATATAATTCTGAATGACCAACTTGAGACAAACAGTTCTCCCCTCCTCAACCTATTTCATTAGAGACTATAAATTTGTAAACCCAAGCCAAAAATATATCACTTGAGAAAGGCAATCAGTCGAAACAGCTGTAGTGATAAGATTTAAAATAAATTTTGTGGAAGTTTGAAAACAAAGTTTTCAGTGTTTTATTGTTATATAAAGAAAATGTTTAAACGAAAAAAAAATATATCAAAAGCAGTCTCAATCAGTCATGTTCAAACAAAAAAGCAGTTATTTTCTGCATTCTGGCAATTTTC